TCTCTCTCTCTCTCTCTCTATCTCTCTATCTCTCTATCTCTCTCTGAAAAGTTCAGGACTCTTTTTTTTTTATTTTTTTTTAGCCAAATATAATGCCCTACGGGTCAGTCGGACATTGTGTCCTTTGGAGAGGAACTTTACACAAATTTTCCATTTGGCTCGGTCCTTTTGCCTTTTGGAGATGGACATTAAATTCGAAGGTCCTGCCTCTAAAATAGCGTAATAGTGTTGATGTGTTAAACCTATCCCATTTCACCATTTATAAAAAAATGATAGTATCCTCCCTTTCTGCCTTTGCCTTTCAGATTTACTTTGAGAATAAGGACGAGGAGAAGTTATACCGTGTGTCTCCGGAGTCATCGCTACTGGACGCTCTGAGGCACAAGAAGTGAGTGGGTTTGGTCTTTTTTAGTTAGTGTTTTACAGCACTTGCAACACAATAAGGTCTTATAAGTGCCGAAGATTAGAGGTGTTACAATAGAGTAACAAACACAAAAAGGAGGGGAGATAAAGACAATAGATGTTTGATAGGAAAGAAAAAGCAAACCACTCCAGAGCACCCGCCAACCACCCACGAAGTGAGTGTTTATTGGTTCAGACTGACCACCCATCTCCATAACACCCCCTTCAACCTCCACCCAAGTGATGAGAAGTCAAGATCATCTTCACCTTGGAAGGATGAGCTTCGTACAATTTTTGTTTCGATATCCATTGGTGTATTTCTTCAAGATCAAATCACAAGTGCTGTTGTCCATTTCTATTTGGGTAACATCTTGGTAGTCAAAATACATCACCAAAGTCATATGTTTCCCAAAGAGGGGATATTAACATGTTCTTATGCACAGAAGAATTGTTAAATGGACTGAGTTATCAATGTCATGCTCATTCTGTGCTGGCACAACAGATGGGGGAACTGCTGCTTTTTCTTTCCTCACCCTTATTATCGTCATTTTCCTCTACTTCTTTTCTATCTTTGTCACTCTCTTATGAACTGCTATTTTTGGGGTGCCTTGATAGTCGAAGCAGACTGTGCTGTTGAGGCCAGAGAGGTGAGCAGAGTAAGCCTGATTCCCCATTTGGACTCTTCTGTTGACATCCACCCCTTGGCGCTCATATGACCTTATGCAGTTGCAAACGCTGTAAAACCTAACTAAAACTACTAAAATAAAAGTCGTATGTGTGACTTGGACAAAACCAATTCAAATACCGAGAGGGTTCCGTGAAGCTGATTTTCTGTGTGAGGAGAACTATTTGTCTGTGTCTTGTGTCTCAACGTTTCAATTGCTTTTTCCTGTGTGTACAGCAAACCACTTGTCTGTTTCTTTGTGTTTTAATGTTTACTTTTTTTTTTCTCTCTATTTGCAGAAAAGTGTTTTTCTGTCTTTTGTGTTTCAATGTTTCATTTGTTTTTTTCTTCTGTGTGCAGATACCTCGTGTATGCGGGTACTCCAGGGTTCATCTTTCTGGTCAGAGGGTCGAAGTTCGCCCATGAGTTCACAGCTCGGTACAGAAAACATTGACAGAGGAAATCTGCCTGTATTCCTGTTTGTATAAATAATGCTGAGCCATAATGTCAATAAATCAGAGTCAGAGCAAAGGTTATGAATATTTCTTTGTTTTTGTTTTTGTTTTATTTATGTTGTTTATTCTTGCTCTGTGTTTATCCCCTTCTCCCCCCCCCTCTCTCTCTCTCTCTCTCTCTCTCTCTGCCTCCTCTTTCTCTCTCTCTCTCCCTTTCCCCCCGTCTCTATCCTTCTCTCCCTTCCTCACTCTCTCCTTGTGCCATGAATCAGTCAAGGCAAGGAACAGAACATATGTATTCCAAATGACTGGTCAAGTGCAACATCCACATTACAGTCATCATCACAGAGCAAAAAATCACAACAATATATGTCTCCCGACGTGTTGGAATCAAGTGCTCGTCAATATAATGAAATCGAAGAAACCGACATGGGACAATTCCGATCACTCAACAAGTTTTATGCTCATTTAAAAACACATTTCTTTTTGGATATTCCTGAAATACGTTGATTAATAAAGGCACCAAAAAAATGTAACTTTTCAGTTTTCAAGGACTCTCAAGCTTAAAAAGTCACCAAACTTTGGAGGCCATTTTTTCATTAATTTTACCTCTGAAACCAGGTGACCCCACCTCCTTCTATCACAAATATCTCGACTTCTATTCTACAAAGATGGGTATTTTTTTCATCAAAAGCTAGGCACATGAACAAGCTTTTAAAGTGATACTAATAATGATGTATGCCCGAAAACTGACGAGTGCCTGATTCCACCACATCATGACACATTCCATCAGTATCTCCCCATACTAACATGACTGGTGGCATCAGTTATCTAGTGATTGTCACTAGAGGTTATTATCGTGAAATTACAGGTTCTAAGCTCAGCTCAGCCCAGTGTGTGTCCTTGAGAAGGGCATTTTACACAAATGTTCCCAATTTGCTCAGTCCTATCCGGTACGAACGTCAATTCGGAGATTCTGCCTCTTAAATAGCTTAACAGTAAACAGTGTTGCTAGTGGTAATAGAACTATAGAATTTCATACTTTTTATTTTGTCACCAATATATGTTGTTTTTTTCCTAAATGTAACTTAAATTCTTAAATGCATTATAAAATACAATAACACAACTTCCAGAGATATATTTGAAGACACAGAATACTTTATCTACAAATAAAACAGAAATAGCCCTGTTCTTTTAACAAATCATGTGAAACAATAATGAAAGTTGTCAGATGGTACAAATAATGTATAAGTATACATAATACTAATAGTACAATATATATAACTATATGAACGGTTCAGTTCAAAGTCCTGTACATCACATTTTTCTCAAATCGATTTTTTTGCTTTCCTGTTGCCACGGATCTTTCTTAGTCACTATCTTTTTCCTGTGAGGATCGGACTGAAAACGTATTTACAGTCCAATCCTAACTTCAAAAAGATATGGGATGGATAAAGATCAGCGGCCATAGAGAAGCAACAAAAATCGATTTTTAGAAAAATGTGGCATACATGTACCGGTTTCTTGAACTGAACGGTCGACATGTACATTGTGCAGTTTGGTACACTGGGGCTGGTTTAGTGTAGCAGGAGTATTATGGTTCTTGCAACTGCATTAAGCCATATGAGCGCACTCGGGCTGGAAAAGGCTCATACTATTGTCCTCTTGTTTTTTCGCTGAACGACACGATGCATCTCATTGTATGTCGCTAATACCCAGTGCCCATTGGCATGATTGGTTCGGTTTGCTTGCCAGATTGAGGGCGCAAAGCGGCTATCGTGATACAAACCGATCGCCCGACTCGCCGTCTTAAAAAAAATAAATTTGTGAAGCATGCTTACAAAATGAGTTACTTCTCGGATTCGAGATCTATGGAAATCGATACGTCACTCTTAGAGGTGAAGTTTTTACAATTTATAAGTATGAAATTTTAAAAGGCATGTTATACTTAAAGAATATGGCATCAACAGAAAATCTACAAATTTGACCCTAGTGTCTATTTTTTACCAATATCTCCTTTTGTAAATTGCATGAAGTAACTCACTTTGTCAGTACGCCTCACATTTGTTTTCAGGCGACGAGTCGGGCGACTAGTTGGCGATTGGTTCGTATTAGAGAACCGATCACCCAATGGGCACTCCTTATCAGTGCATCACATCATGGGTCCTATAGTGTTGCAAAATGACTCATTGTGACACACTGTGCGGCACAGAGTGTGCTACACGTCACATGATATGGTCGCTTTAAAGGACAAGCGGGCTAGCCCAGAAATCTTGACATACACCAAAAGTGGGCATTGCCCTACATATAGGAGAAGTTTGGTTTCATTGGTGTGTATATTTGTTTGTTTGTATAGAAAACTCTCCTAGTCTTTTATAGAAACTGAACAGGGGCGAACATTTTACCTTCAATTTTCTCAAAACAGCATTTTCCGGGATAGCCCCCTTGTGTTTAAAGGCGACCGTATGTCCAATAAGTTTGCATCACATAGCGTCACATACGGTATCATAAGTACATTTTTCCGGTAGTGTGTCGCGTGTCACGTAATGAATTCCTACCAAAGAGGTTATAGTTATAGTACTAGAGTTCCTTGCAGTGATATCCCCCACGTTATTGAACGAGTGCTGTGTGTGCCTACTTTAGAACGCTGAACCTCAAGGGCAAGACATGCCCAGTTCAACAGACGGGTGAGTACTTTTTTTAAAACTCACGTGAAGGAGTCTCGGTGGTCTTAGGAGGAAATCAACAACTACAAGCTTGCATTGTGAAATATGGAGGCCAGGGGGTTTTATATGTACTAGAGCTCGTGGGAAGCAAAAAAAGGACCGCAACAGATTGTGCACATGTAAATGGGTGCCCACCGGCCATGCCTACGAGGGTAAGAAGGACCCTATGTCTGACATGTGTGACGTCACTGCTGCGAGCTCTAGTATTATATATATATA